ACCTTCACCTCAAATGAGGAGGTCAAAAACCTCCTCGATCAGTTTTTTGCCAGCAAAGACCAAAAATTTTATGAGCGTGGAATTATGCTACTACCAGAAAGATGGCAAAAGGTGTTGGACCAGAACGGTCAATATATAATTTAATAAAGTACTTGTTTATTATATGAAAACTGTCTTTCATTTCCACAAAAAAAAACGAACAACCCTATAATTTAATGGTTGGTAAGAATACACTGATCTCCCCGATAATAATTGTAGATTCCATCTGTTTAAATGTAGTCAAATGTTGAGCAGAATTCGTGGCGTTTGTTGTCATTGATAATTGGGTGTATATGGAATTTCAAACCGAGCGGCATGGCCTAGAGGTTTAGACCATTGCTTAGCATTCTAGAGGACGCCGGTTCGATTCCGGGTCCGTCTGCCTTGGTCCAAGTTTTTTTGTGGTTTCCTTGGATCACTTAGGCAAATGCTGAGGCAGTAATATTCCACAGATAATATTTCAATCTCTTCTGTCTTCATTTCGTCCGTCTCATCTTTCTCACCTGAACCACCACCCACCCATTCCTACGATTCCTGAAGAGGGTCTTCCGCCCTACCTTCCGGCGTAGTCCGGAGGGACTGCCCGCCAACCAGCTTTACTAGCCGATGGGAATGAAACACCTAAAAGTTTTTTTTTATGGAATCTCTCAATAACATGACTGTAGGTATCTGGGCTATCCCATTGCTATTTCTACGATATTAATATTTGGATTCTGTTACTTTAGGAATAATTTTTATTACCACTGTAAAGCGTTTACTTAGATGTTAGATCATTTTTTTCTGATGGGCTATTTATGAAAAAATGTCACGCTACATTCCTTGTTTGAACAACACTTGTCAGACGGACGTTGAAACGTTTAGCTTTCACTTATCAACGGTACTGGGACAGCTTCCTTTGCGGTAGTTCGAGGGCCCTCCACATGGAGAGCCCTTCACACCGACGTATCGTATCATCGATTGCTATTCCTCCCTTTTATACGTACGTACCTACGTATATATGCGACCGAAAATCAGCAGCCTAGTTGTCTGGACATCGAAAATTGCCACGACCAAACAATTTTGAAACATTTGTATTTCGTACTTGGAACTTCGACCTAATTCTCATTCCTACAGAAATTAAGCCACCAAGCTGAGAATTTTCGTATCCGTCCATTGAAGCTGTGAAAATGGGGCAGATGACAACGAAAGCTCCCATGTAATAGGTAGGTGCATGGTTGTTATGCCCGGTCGAGCGAGTATCTGCCGATGACGGACGGTGATGTTTGATATTTTGCATTTCAAATGGCCCGGGGGTCCGCCGCCCCTCTTTGTCGCCTCTTTTTTTTTGCGCGCCTTTCATACGTGCGGATGACAAAGCGCTATTGTCTGGTACGATGCGTGTCCGTTGTGATGGAAAACGACGTTAAACTGTGACGCCGCGACGTCGCACGGTCACGGACGACGACGCTTCCTCTCCCACCGAACCCTATTATTCAAAATTCCATCCGGCAGCAGCGATACAGTTCAAAATTGAAATTTAAAATAAAAAACAGCACCCGCCTCCTGATTCACATGGACTCTTTCCTACTTAATAAATAAAAATGAAACAGAGAATAGCGCAGGATCGGGAAAACACTCGGTTAATTTAGAAATTGAAAAGTGTCGATAAGAAATTCAAATAAATAGTTTCTGGTGGTGTACATAAGTCGATGATGGGAGCACGGAGCTGTAAATTTTCTACCCCTCCGCCCCTGTCTCATCCTCATTTTCCATTTGATGTGGGCAATCGGATTCGAACACCGATGAAAAGCGTTATGTAGTGTGCGCGCCTCTTTCGATGCATCAAGACGATAACGCTAATGGCAAATCGATAATTGTTCATTTACTTTTACACGATATTACAAATTCCCATTAGCATTGCGTTATACGTTTCCGTGATGATAGAGCAGCGCCGTTAACGCGTTCTTTTATATAAATTTTTAACGGCCCCATGCACGAGAGCAATTAACAGAATTGACGCCACCGTCGTCGTCGTCCTCCGTCGTATAAAATATTGTACGTGTGTGTACGTACGTACCTAGTCTGTACGGGGCATCGAATAAAGACCGTTTTTATACGATACTTTTGTGAGTGAGTGTGTGTGTGCGCGCGCGAATATACGATGTGGTCGACTAAGACCGTAAATTAGGACCTTGTTGTGGCTATGAATGATCGAACGCTAATTTTTGTATACACGTGAATGAGAAGGCTGTAAACAAAAATGAGTGCAATAAAACTTTTGTAACACTAACATGTACGTATACGGGATACGATAATACCAACATGTTCGGTAGTCGATTGAGTGCAATAAACATTTCGGGTCCGCAACAATCCTGACGGTCTTATTAACCTCATCAACTGGCCAAATCCATGGGCGGCTGCAGAACCGTAGAACTCCTCAAGATTGAAGCGTTATTTGCTTTTAAAGACGTCCACTGCAATTCGTTACGGAAACAAGCGATAGATAAATCAAAGACCTATGCTGTTACTGCCTACAGTAAAAGTTCCTTATTCACGGTTTCCTCATTCGCGTTTTCATTATTCGCAGGCGAAAAAATTGCAACCCAGTTCCTGTATTCGCGGTTAAAAATTTCATTATTCGCGGTTGCAATCGGTAAGCAGAAAAGGATTCGGTGTCATCTATTAAGGGGATTGACCGCAATAGACCGCTCGTGCCTACTGTGAATTTCTCCGAAAACATGAGTTTCTATTCTAAACATTGTAATTTAAGGCTGCGAGATAAATATCTAATTTTTTGTATGGTAACAGACAAAGGTTCACACTAACTCGGTACGTTTTTGGTTTTCAATAATATGGTCATTAAAAGCTTTTACAAGTGCTTAAAGTTGATGCTTCTTGTAGGACACGTATTTTCAATAGAAATTAAAAAATTAAGAAATGTGCTTCGATAAGCTTTAGAACAAAGCTTTATCTATCTTACTATAAAATTTCAAACCTCTGTTCTAAATATTAAACTCATGATATCTAGAACCGATAAGAATGTTTTAACTCTATGGCGCGTGTACCACAAGCCTTAATGTATCAGCATCTTTTGAGTACTACTGGCTCGTGCCGAGGCGACTTTTATAAAAGATGTAACCCAGAGGACTAATTTCAAAATTCAAAACAAGAAAAAATCATTAAATTTTTTAAACTCTTGCCTGAAGCTGATTATAACGATTAATTTTAATTGCGAATTTATTGATTTTATTTCGATACATACTTATTGGTTTTATTTTGGAACCTTAGAACGTATCCCGTATGATTCCATACTAATTACCATTCCTTATCCACGGTTTCTGTATTCGCGGCATATTTATGGAACGTATACCCCGCGAATAAAGAGTTTTTACTGTATTACAAAAGTTCGATTTAGTTGGGGATACCGGGGGGGAACATTTGTTGCAGTTACAAATTGAGTTCATGTCGAACCGTTTCGGGAAGCGAAATGATTCGGTGCGGCGAACGATCACAGACGTCGTCTCTGCGTCCTGCGGCCTTTGTTCCGGAGGTCCTTATCAGTTCCCCAAGAAGGCGGAGGAGTTGCAAGGAATTAGAACTGAGGTGTCCGACCGACTATCCGCTTGTTCCTTCCCGTGAACAACAAACGTCTTAAGTCGTGGCAACTTCTATACCGTTGTCGGTTAATTAAACTCCGAACCGTATCTGATCGCATCAAGAACGGGAAGCGACGGACAAGAAGCTATCACTTTAATCAGCTACGTGTCTATATGTATGTGTGTATATATGGAGGATGCAGTGGCGGCTCGTGATGAAACGAAGCGGGTGTTAGTTCGGCAAATGTTAATTCGTCGCTGTTTGATGTGAAAGGGCATCGGTTGGTAAATAAATCGCACCAATGAGCTGCGTCGAAGGCAGCTCACTAATCCGTCTATATGCACTGCTTTAGGAGTGTAGAGGGAAACCTCGCATTTTAATAATATAAAGAGTCGAAATGTGGTTAAAATACGTTAAATTATTTATTAATACATTTTAGTCGCAAAATACATCAATATCTGTTTTTGGCAGTTCTGCATCTCTGCAGCACTACAGATACATATACCAGCCACCCCTGCTTGTATATAAGTTGTGTTCATACACAATCTACCTTTTTTTCTCTTTCAGCTTCCCATTCTCATTGTACGTATTACTGCATCAGCAGATTTGTCTGCAATGAACCGATACCAACGCTGTCTGAGGAAATGAGATCAGCTAAAGGGCGTCACAAATGTTCCTGATAACGCATTTTGACTTATTGCCATTCTTAAATTTCCCATTAGCCGAAAAAAAATACAAATTAAAACACATTAACCCCAAAAAATATCCTCATGCGTAATAAATGAAACTACTTCTTAGAAATATTATTTCCTGTCTGCGATTATTTCATAATAAATTTGATTTGGTCTAAATTCTAAAATAACAGGAAACGGCGTCGTGATTTGGAAAGGTGATGGTGCACAACGTATCTTCTCAATAAATGACACAAAAAAACAACGGTTTCACATTACGTAAACCGTTTGACCCGTCGACAATGAAGAGATACAGTATTTGATTATCTTATCTTTTAAATGTACCAGTTACTCGAAATTTTAATTGGGGTGATTTTGGGCTAATTTGTCTCTGCTGTTCGAACGACAAGATAACAGGGACCATTATCGCATTTCCCACTAAAATGTCGCCATTAGAAAAATTAAGACAAATCGAGTTGTAAATCACTGTCATAGAAGAAATCATACGACTGACTTTATTAGGTACACAATTTTAATTATTCACATACGAAACCTAATCAAATAGCAACAGTTATTAATATTACGACTATAACCTATCTGTATGTTGTACCTTGGCTACGGACCTGATTTAAAAAGTGCAATTTTCAAAGGCAATGCGCATTGTCAAATTGGGAAGTAAATAACGATTGGTACTATAAGAAAAATGCATCCTACCTGGATCACTCGCATCCAGGCTCTGTTGGGACCCCGGTGCTTGGGAAAGGGGGCCGGGTGTACCCGGTGACCGTACGTCATCGTTGACAGGGCCTCCGTATGACATCGTCGACGAAGGCGGCCTCTGTAATCAAAAATACTTTATATATAAATAGTCAAATCTTAATTGCTTGTCGATAAAATTCAAATGCAACAAACATAGATATGAGTACAAATTTAAGTAAAAAACAAAAAAAAAAGAATTATTAATGGTAGCAGCACATGTTAAGGACATATTACACGGCGCGTGGATTGGCGTTCCACGCGCACGCAGCCGCTATATAAATAAATCTAAGGAACCGCTAGAACGCTCTAGTCCGCAGCAAACCACGCGCCGTGTAAAAGTCATATTACAGAGCGCGTGGAGCGTGGATCGGCGTTCCACGCGCCCTCAGCCGCAGTACAAAGAAAGCACTAGGACGCGTCTGTTAGCTCCAGCCCGCGGCAAACCCGTTGTACGAGGCGTGGATTTGCAATTCACGCGCTGTGTAAAGGCCATGTTACACAGCGCGTGGATCGGCGTTCCACGCGCCCGCATCCGCCGTATAAAGTCAATGAAACCGCTAGGACTGCGCCGATCCAGTTAGACGGAGCGTGGATTGACAAATCATGGCCCATAGGTACAGACGGTTTATAGAATAATTGAGTTCGACTCTGATTCTTTAACACTAAAAATATATCACCGTTTTGATTATGAATAGTGGGTCATTCATATAAAAATGGAGTGTACGTCGTTTTCAACCCCAATAATGATATTTTTTAACTTGGTGTTATTAACTGTAATAGAAGGAGTGTCGATCGGATATACAGCAGTTTCCGGACATTGTAGTAAAAGCTGGACCTGCTCATGACAAACGGCCCTAATAAAAATCTGTATTTGTCGTTGTTTGAGTCGATGAAAGCGGCTGGTTGGTACGCCAAGTGTAGAAATATCGCGTGCTATCAGTCCAACATTTTAGCATGCGATGGCTTAACTCGTTATATGTACATAAATATACGACTTACGTATTTAACAGTCGACGATAAACTTATAAAATTTAATTTTTCGCATACACAAACAAATATTCTACTGATGTCAGTAGTGTGAATTTCGACCTACAGCTATGTAAAAAAAAAATACCTATGACACGCAAATAGAAATAAAGTTCATCATCATTTACTCAGCTCATATACGTGAAATGCACCTGATCGTCATCAATCGTTGATTATTTCGTCCAGTTCTTGAATAATTACTTTCATTAGTTGTTTGAGAACATACAAACGATTAGAAGATATGACTCTGCTGTTGGAAACATCCTGTTATTTCAGTGATAGACGATCTATCTTTACGCTTTTTGTATGCGCCCCTTTTTTTGTTAGGCTACATAAAAAGCACAAGGGTGGGATGTAGTGACTAACAGGGGCAGTGTGTCGACTTATCAGTCTCACGTTCTCATGGTGCCCAAGTCATGGAGGAGATATCGAATTTCATATTTTTTTTTTTACACCACATTCGATCTACCGCCGAGCCAGGCACCCCCAAAACACAGCCCACGGGAGATACACACGTAATGTTTCCAGAGACAGGCTCGCCTTTTCGCCTAAATTACGATAACTCCCGTGCTCCATTCTCATTCATTATGTAGCTGCTTTGCCGCATACTCGAATCCCGCGCTACATAGAAGCCACCGTCGCTCACATCCGCAGCCGTCAGGCAAAATATTATATTTTGACGCCGGAAGGTCCCATGTGACATTCGCTCTATTGATGCACAAGGGCTTCTTCATACATTATTATTTTATTTTTGCTTTCGTGTCCCTTTATATTTTCCTCCTGCTTTTTTATTTTCACTATATAAAATGAAAACAAAAACAGAACAAAAATATTTATATATATTAAGTATATAAATATTAGGGACGAAGAACTAGAACAAGCAGTTTATGTTCAATATCTAGGAAGGTAGAAAGTCAAATACAATTGAACATGTAGTGAAAAACAATTAATTCAGAAATTCGAAAAAGATTACAAGTGATTGCGATGTGATGATAAAAATTTCATGGATAGAAAGTCAGAAACTTGTGGGTATTGATAAATGAGATATACTGACTATAGAAGTCGATCTGAAAAAGCAAACAAAGGATACTGAAAACTGAAATAAACTGGTGGCAAAAGAATATCTACAGATTAGGCTACTTTCGCTAACAATTAGGGATGAGGGATGTTCCAGTTTCTAGACAGTGCAAAAACGAACTTAGGATAGGACAGAGTGGAAGTACAAGTTTTTCGGAAAACAAAATCGTTACTTGTAATACAGACGGCGCAATTACAACCGATTCTCCAAATAAATCTTCTCATTCAGTACCATGGCATTGACGAATGGTTTATAATTATAATTTCTGGTGTGAAGGATTTTAAATACTGAAAGACGAATAAAGTAGAGATCTGTGTATCCGTTCGATAAAGCAAATAAATAATGACACCTATACGAACGTATAGATACATGTGTATACCGGGGGCTTTCAAAGCATCGAAATGTGTCCTAAGAGGTTTTCTTCGGAACTTTACAAGCGTCACACATTATGGGAACTTACGGTCGCTAGTCAATTTTTAACTTAACAGCAAATCAAAATTAATTCCGCCATACGGACGGCACGATGAATAAGAAGAACATTCCAGTTACAGAAGAAATTCCCCGGACGAGGTAAAAGCTGCTTCTTCAGGTAATTATTTTTATTGATATTGATTTCTAGTGTTATTCGAGAAAGACTTATCGGAGACACACACACACACGTGATTGTAGCGTTCGTTGACACGCTCATAAATTACAAACGGCCAGATGCTTTTCTCTACCTATACATTTTTTCCGTATAAACGATAATTAATCGCTCAACTAACGTGTCTTCTTGGATACGTGTAAATGACAATAAATGAGTTTCAAAAATATACCAACAATAACTGTAGGTCCGAATCAGGAAGTTGATGTTACCATCAGGTACGCACTTCCTTAACATTACCTACAATATCTTGTTTGGCAATTATCTTCTTTTTTTGGCGTTAATTTTGGACATGCACCCGGTGATTATCCAAATTCGATTTTTATGATATCTGTTCCCATGCTTGTTCGAATATCAGAATATTTATTCGACCAATAAACCTTTTGCCAGTTGGTAGAGAGATATGCAAATGATATTCAGAATTCAATATTTATGGTTTTATAATAACTAAGGTGTACAGTAAAAAAAAACTGTTATTTACACCTGGAGGTGATTTATAAATCGGCATTAGAGTCAATTGTGGTACCGAGCCGTTTCTTTTACAAGCCAGAGAGGATCAATTCGATAGGTCGACAATTTCCCTCCTGTTTATTATAGGTATAGGTGCGCACACATGTACCTAGATACGTATGAGGAAGTGTGGGAAATAAAATTTATTTCGATTGTATGGTATCTTAGCAGGTGATAGGACACACCTAATAAATCGTAAAAATTCCAACATTAAGTGCGGAATGAGAACGAATGAATTATTTATTTATTTGTTGTTGTTTATCAACTAAGAGGTACAAGAAAACGAAGAAGAAGTAGAAGAGTACAATATCGGTAATTTCGATTTTTAATCCAACGTGGGCTCAAATTATGGCCTATTGATAAGAGAGAAACACGACGGACGGACGCACGGGAGACGCAGCATTGCGCCGGTATCCCACGGATCGTAACCAATCAAACATAAGGTGTTTCTCTTTCTCTGTTCTGTAGCCGGCGACTTTAATATATTCCGATATTATCATAAAGTAAATGTATTCGAAATGTATAATTATGTTCGTACCAACACACAGAATTATCATGAATCTATAAATAATGAAACGATTAACGAACGACGAGATTGTACACTAACTGCGCATTAAAGCCGTATAGGAGATTTTTATTGGCTCCTCTGGAATCCCAATTAGAATGCACATTTAACTACTTTGTATGTATGGATGAATAAACGTGTCCATATACATATATACGAACGTGTGCATGTGTGTTTGTGTGATACTCTCGTCGTACGAGCCGGCCAAATGTTCATGTACGTGTGTCTGTATAGATGAGACTCTCCGGTGTCCATCCGCTAGGGGTCAAAGCCTCAAATTCCGCCCATACAATGACGCTTTAGCACTCTCGAAGGCCGTCACAAACAACACACGCATTTCTGCTACAAAATACAAAATCGACCAAACGCAATCTTGAAACTGCGACGGATGTTGCACGCGCAATTGTCAACTTCAACTGCATCTGCCAAACAAACCTTTTTAAAGCACAATTGTACAATAATAAAAAATCGAAAATTTCCGTAACCCGGATCGGTAATACCCTCAAAGGGAAATATCGTTGTTCTCTTCCGGTCTGGTGCGTTCGAATTCCGGTTCAACAAACGAAACAAAAACTCTGGTTCCACGCATGATTACCATCCACCAGCAGTTGGTGAATCAATTAGTATTAGACAAAAAATAACGTAGTTTTTTATTTAATTTGGGTAGGCGCTGTTGTGCCTGTGTGATCAAGGGCCATGTCATACGCGCCGCATGCGTCGGCGTATGACATGCGAACGCGTCAAATTCGTCGCCAAGGTAATGGGTGATAGGCCATGACGAGCTTCTATTATCCCTACGTTTTTCGTTATTATCATTTATCATTATCATAGGGTCGTCAGTCCAAAGACCAATTGCCTATCTTGACCTAATCTTTCCTTAAAACTAGAAAAAAAAACTTTTGGGTGTTTCATTCCCACCAGCCAGTAATGCTGGTGGGCGAGCAGTCCCTCTGGACTACGCCGGAAGGTAGGGCGGAAGGCCCTCTTCAGCCTGCTTTCAGGAATCGTGGGAATGGGTGGGTGGTGGTTCGGGTGAGAAAGATGAGACGGACGAAATGAAGACAGAAGAGATTGAAATATTATCTGTGGAATATTACTGCCTCAGCATTTGCCTAAGTGATCCAAGGAAACCACTGTCAAGGCAGACGGACCCGGAATCGAACCGGCGTCCTCGGTTTAAAACTAGAACAACTCACATCCTTAACTATTTGTGAACAGTAATCCGATCTAGGTTTAGCTCTACTCCTGTTAGCTCAT